TCTTTTACTATTTTTAGTTTGAATTTTAATTTTTTTTTTTTTGGTATGACCAAGATAAATTTTTTTTATTAATAATGCGAATTATAGTGTAACCGATGACATTTTTCATTTCTCTATGTTTGCGAATTCAGTCATTTTTTCCTTCGAATTATATAAAGGCGGTGACCTTTTCCATTTTCCATTAATCGAATCTATAGTGAGACGGTCACTTTTTTTTTTTAAAGTACTTTCGAATCATAGTGTTGGCGGTCACATTCAATAGAGTTTTCCCGATCCTGTGGTGTGGTTGTCGTCACTCTAGTTATTTTTAAAAGAATGGTGGAATAACATTTTTTTAAAAAAAATGCCCAGAAAAGATATAGAAAGGCCGAAGAAAAGGAGAAAAGAGGATGAAATTGTCGCAAAAGGGCAAGAGCTTATCATAAGAATAGTGGTGATTGACTTATTTTCATTTCAATTATTTGAGAATAATGGTAATTTATATGTTCAGTGACTGACAAGCTTAAAATTATGTTTATTTTTGGAACAAAAAGAATCCCACTTTCAACGTTACCATCACAAATATCGTCATTCGATACAACACCAAGAAGTCTATTAATATCATCAATACTTAGGAGCTTGAGGCATAAAATCAATACCTCAAGCAAGACCATGAGTAGATTATTAATAAACGATAATATTATTGACTTATTCCATCACCGAAAATACTTATCAGATGGCGAGTACTCTTTTCTGAAGAAGCTTTTCACGATAGATTACAATATTGAAAAGATACAATTTGATTTGTTGGAAGAAATCGAAAAAATATACAAGTGTGATGACGAAGTAATATTATTCATTATTAGTATAGCTTAATTAATATTTTCATCAATTGCATCAGAAAATAAGGCCTGGAGAAATATATAAAAACCTGGGTATTATTAGAATCAATCATAAATTTACAATTGACACCTTTTCAGAACGTCAAAAGTTATTCATAATTTCTATGGTTGAAGATTTGTAACTGTCTATTTATTGTTAATTTACTAATATGCAAGTTAGGCATAATTATAGATTATAAATAAAATTCATTTATATGCAATTAGCTTATTAAAGTTTCAGTTGGGTTTTTTCAAGTCTGATTTCATGAATGAAGCAAAATACGTGGTAGAATTTTTTGGCCGTTTAACAATGGTTTTATCATTAAACTTAACAAGCACATCGTGGTAATTATATTTTATGAACATATGTATATTTTTGTCAAAATTATAATATTTTTAAAATGACATTTTTTTATGTAGGGATTTACAGTCGCCTTCCATGAAAGAAAAAATGAGAACTGAAAACTGAGACATCAGAGAAACAAAACGTCCAGGTTTTGCTTTGATAAATAATTCTGGTTATGAATTAATTATGCTAGAAGTTGCAGGTTCTTCTGACGTTGATGATCCAGATAAACATAATTATGACGAGTTGAAGTTATCACACAATTTATTAGAATCCTTTAATTTCATTTTTGGGAAAGAAAAATACCTTGGCAAGCCTGTACCAGATAATTTAGTTTTAATTGGTTTATTGTCTAAGAATAATGAATTGGTGTTTAAAGGAATGATGAGAATTGATGATTTTTTGATCCAAAAACAATTATTTGTGGCTGAGGTTCCAAATGATTTCTTATTTTCTTTTGAGGAAATGAGAAATCTATTAACAAAGATGCTGACTGTATCGGTAATTATACTCATAACATTGTTTTATTATTTTATCAAGTTCATAATATAACTATTTATCAATTTCAGAATGTGGTACAAAAAGACTGATATTTTAATTTCTCAAAAAAAGAATTCTAAAGAAAGAAGCCCCCAAAGGCATCCCAGAGTACAATCACATCTCTTAAAAAGTAAAAATTGTCTCAGGATGACAGTATATTTAGCACCAATAAAAAATTAAACATGTCATGTTATAGTCTCTTTTTGTGCTTAGGCGTGTTTCGTTTTTGGCATGATCAACTTTTTCACCTTGTTTGGCCAATTTTACGTCATGTGGCAAATATTTCGTTTCTTAATAAGTGCATTTGCTTTCTTTTGCCTTGCTTTGCTATGTCTTGTCTCGCTATGAAATTTGCAACACTGCATGCACTTCTACTCCCAATTTTTTTTATTCGAAAAAAAGGTTCATTTTATAGTCGAGAAAAAAATCTGTTCTGAGAAACTTGATTGGTTTTGCCGGTAAAGAAATTGACCAATCCATTTTGATAAATTGGAAGAAAAAAAACGGATTTTTGTTTATATTGTTCCTGATGATTTAATTCCTTTCTTAGAAAAACCAACAAATCTTTTTTGAAAATGATGCTTTGCCACCACCGCAGAAATCTTTTATTGTTTAAAAGATCAATCATCATAAATTGTGTGAAAATGATTAGCTTTTTTTTTGGTGTGTAATCGATTCGAAAAATATCTAACTATATGAACAGAATAAGGCAAGAAAGACAAGAATTGTAATTTTTTGTTGAATAACGCTTATTTGTTATAAAAAAAAAAACCAATATCCTATTTTTTATTATTATTATTATCATCATAGATTTTAGTTATTTATAGAAAATTCGTTCGTTTATTATCAATCGGACAACATTACAAATGACTAAATTCTGATCCCTGAAATTTTTGTTTGGTTTTGTTGCAGTATGCCCCATATAAGGATTTGTGAACTGGCATTAATATATATTTATATCAGGACTGGTCGCGTAACCTAAATGAGCATATGGTTAAACTGACTAAACTATTTAGTCATTGTTTAACCAAGACAATTATTACCAAATTAGGATTTTAGCCCTTTACATGGCCAGCCCTGATTTTTATATATAATTTAATATTTTATTTGATCTAACTGAATCCCGCACATTAAACCATAAATTTATAAAAAATTAAGGTTGGACTGTACACATCTCTAAAGTTATACTGTGCGCAAATAAATTATTAAGCTCGGAGCGAGCGTTTCGCACATAGATTTACCACCATTATTATCATTGATACAATCACCATTATTATCACTACTACTGTTAATGCAATTGCTGCTGCTATCATCATCATTGTCATCATCATCATTGCTATTGTCATCATCATCATTCATTATCATCATTATTATTAATAAATGAGAGAAATCATTATAAAAAAAATTAAAAACAAATCTCAACTAGTTTTGGTTGTTAGTTGATATTGCTATTTATACATACATATTTACAATTATCTTCTAATCACCCTACAGTCTGTATGATATTGTAAGATCGTGTCTGAGTCTCGAAGATGATAATTTATTTATTTAATGTCAATAAGGTTAATACAATCTCTTCCAATTTATTTATACTAAATCATAACAGCAATTTCCGCAAGTGTATATTTATGATTTACTGTCAACACTATCTTTCATTATCGTAAAACAATTCCTTGCAAAGCGGTACTAATGCAATTTCCAGTAATACTAGTATTGATGATTCTAGTATTTTTAGCGATGCTTTTGATAAAAGTATAGATTCACGTCATGCATTCAATGATATTTCTAATATTACGTTACCATTAAAAGATCTAACAATTATAATGTAATCGAAGGACTTAAATTTAAATTTATTACTATTATTAATATTCATAAATAATTATTGCTATTATATAATTATTATTTATCTTTAATATTTATTTGTATTGCTTATATAATTTATAATGCTTTGCATTTTATAAATAAAAAAAATTAGACTATCATAAAATTCAACCGTGTTTGAATTTTTCAGTAACAACTGAAAAATGACATAAATGAAGTATGGTGCACGTAATCTATAAACGTCAAAGAGGGTCACCTGACTTTAAAAGTTTATAGCACAAAAATTTTTTTTTATATATAAATTTTGTGCTATATGTAAACTTTTAAAGTTAAAAATTTTTATTAATAAATTCAAAATTTCGGACTAAAATTCTTTCCATAAAAAGTAAGTGATCGCTGATAAATTTCATTAGTTTATAAAAATAACCAATTTTTTTTTTAATATTATTCATTTTTATGACCATCTAAAAGAAAATTACACACAAGAAACCTATTAATAGTAAAGAAAGAAATTCTAATGGAACTTTACAAGAAATCATGGAAATACATGGATCTATATAGGAATGGAATTATTGGAAAGTTGGCAGAGTATGCTATCGAAAAATATAGATCCATAGAAGAATTCCAGAGTATATTTTCAGGAATTAAATAATATAAAATTGATTTAATTTTTTATTTGATTTGATTATTATTCTTTCTTTTAATCATCTTACTATTGTTTTTTAGCTAATTTTAAATTATTATAAAAAATTATATAACTCATAAAAAAAAATGAACCATTAGAGTATCTGTTTTTCTAAATGGTCAATGATTTTTGCGTTTTGCATAATATAAAAAATAATTACTTAAATTGGAAAGATCCACATTTTAAAATTTCGGACTATTGACGTTTATAGATGACGTGCCATAATATTAAAATTTACCTTGATGATCAACTAATACTAATGTGACCAACACTAAACGAGACATAATACAACTTAATAAATTTTTGATTGCTACACGGCCCATTAATTAAAGTTTTGTATTAAATACACAATACGAATTAGCGGATCTGGTAGCTAGTATTACTCTTTCATAATATGCACAATTTGTTTGTTTTTCAATGAAAAAATTTGGTTTTTTTTCTGGTACTCATTTTCTCTCTCTGAGAAAATATATTAAGATCGTTGGGGCCATGATAACATGGTAAATTTCTCACCTTCAAAATGGCAACTTCTAACATGACATGTTAAGAAAACAAAAGAATATTTATTGATATACATAATAATAATGTTATTTCTTCATGACCGATTTTCAATAAAATGGTGAAAATACGCAGTTCATAAATGAATACAGTGTTTGATAAAAATAGATCATGATTGTTTCCTTTTGAAATTCATGTTTTTCTACCATTTGCGTTGTAATAAGCAGTTTATTGTGTCCGAATTTTTATATAAATCCACTGAATTCATACACACTCTACAGATTAAAATTTAAATTGTATTGATATTTTAATTATAACTAAATTTTGAAGGAAAACTCAAAGAATTGTCTTGAGAAAAAAATAAAAATAAAAATAAATAAATTTTTTAAATTTAAAAACAAACTTTTAAGAACAAACTGATGTCCGAGATATTTTTATCGCAAGCCTATGGAGGGTGTATTTGTGGTCTCAGCACCATGGTAAGTGATTAATCAATAAACTTGGACGTATAAAGAAAATAAAATTAATAAATTATCAATTTGAATAGGCACATCTTCATAATTTATTTGCCTCGATATCATTATATAACTTTCGACAGGCAAATTTGTCAAATGTTTTGAAAATATTATTTAATTTCGGAGGGTCACTACAAGCGATATGTCAGTTTTGGGCTTTGATGGTACCACTTGATGTGACGATGAACGAATGTTTTGCATTATCATATATAGCGATTGCAGGAGGTTTTATTCATAGAACTGCATTGCAAGGATTTTTACTATGGCGACTAAAAATTGTCGGTGATAAAAAATTGGATTTATGGATTGGCATCGTGCTGTTTGCTGCAAGAAATTCTTTTCATGTAAATATATTCAAATATATGTTTAATTAGTTATATATAATGTAAATTATTAATTATTTTTCATTTTCCTTTAAAAAAAAAAATATAGTTTTCAGAATTTTTTACAATGAGACCAGTGGTGCTTTATGAACCTGAAGGATTTTGCTGGACTGGAGCTGATGCAGCCCGGGTATCAGTGGCAGGATATTTATTCACTGATTTACTGATTGAGATTTATGTAACAACTCGATTTGTGCAAATTTTAACCAAAGCAAATAAAAATGTATCAATGTTTATGTCGGGAAAATCAAAAAGAACAAAAAGAAGTATGTACACAGCAATAATCTACTGGAACGTTTTTAGATTACTCTTTGCAATTTGTTATAGTGGACTTGACTTATTTTATACAGCGTTTGGATTCATAAGAAATATTGATGAAAATGTGGGGATTTTTATAAAATCTACAGAGATTTCACTTTTGATAATATTGTCATATGCAATTACTATTGATACGGAGATAGTGAAAATAATTGAAGGTGGAAAAATCGTTCCCAAAACATCAAATAATAATCCTAGATCTGAGAAAACATTCAAAGATACCCCACAATCTCCTAAAAATGCACATGCTTCTAACCAAAATCATCAAACATCCCTATCATCATCTAGTAAAACTTTGATGATTGAGTTATTTGATAGTGATACAAACATCACTAAAGAAAAAAATCAAGGTCTGTCAGTTAAGAGAAATTCATCATTTTACGAGTGGGCTGAAAGTGTGACAAGTGAAAAATTTGTCAATGAATTGGATAATTTATTATTAACAGTAAATAAAGTTGAAATAATAGAATAAATAAAGTAACTAGTCAGAATGTCTTTAAAGTAGTACTAGTACTAGTACAACATATCAGTAATCGAAATTTTGTACATATTTAGAATGATGACGACAAGTTATTTAATATTTTTTTAATAAATATCCATTTTTACTTCCAATACAAATATCAATATTACATTTATGCGATCCTGATTGTTGCTTAAGAAATGTCATTTCAGGTTTTCAGGTTATACCGTGATAACTTTTTTTCATCATAATTTAGTTCACTGAAAGCGGGTCATTAGATCAAATAAAAACTATCAAAATCGAACGTTACCTCAATTATAATAATCTGGGTCCTGGTAGAACAAACTGAAGATTGAGAAAAGATAAAGGTGATTTTAAAAGCTAAAGTATATATAAAATCAAATAATAAAAATATGTAAAGATTATTTGATATTATCATACTGGTGATTGGTGGTGATTGGCAGCCAAGACTACTACTTCAAAAAGGACCAAGGATAGGAAAATTTATAAAATGAAACTATTGATTTCTTGATAAAGGTCACCTATATAATCTAGATAACCTACTTTACAATTTTGAATTAATCCTATGTTGTGAATCTCAAAAAGGATTTTCAGAAGTGTTTTGACATCAAACAAACTGTAGTTTTGATAAAACATGAGAACTAGTTGATGCTCTATAATCCAGTTTCTGAAAAGCCTCTGGATGAAGGTTATTGATAAAAACTGATAAAAGTTTCATTTTTAAGATTAATGAGAATGAATTACAATTTATTATTAAAAACAGCCGAAAAATCATTGTATCATAATGGTCAAGACTTTTACAAATTTTGGAGATCTAATAACATGTACATTAATAATAATAAGCCTCATTGTATTATAAAACAATTCGTTTGTTAAAAAAATTAAAAGTATATATATAGATTAAGGTAACCTCATTGTATCATAGTTGGAAGAATCTTAAACAATTCGTTTGTTGAAAGAATTAGAAGTATATAGATTAAGGTAATTTATTTGATATATAAGAGTTAGCAACGATTTATTTATTGTTTTAACCTTTTTCGTATTGTAAACAAACAATACTGCTGCGTAGCCATTCATTTATTGCATACTAATACAATAAAAAATTTTTCGTTGATATTTCAAAATGTCTAATAATAATAATAATAATAATAATAACAATAATAGTTTTTCAGCATTACAAGATATTAGTAAATTATTTGAAAATTTTTTAAACTCTAATAAAGATGCTTCACCATTAAAACATATTAATAAACTTGTAAATGATTTGACAGAAATGTTAAATGAACCAGACTTGCATGATATAGAGATTAGGGTTGGAGAAGGTGAAGATATCAAAACTTTTAAAGCTCATTCTAACATTTTGAAAGCAAGGTCTTCATATTTCAAAACAGCTTTGTCAAATGATTGGAAAAAAAAATCAGATGATGGGATTATTTTGTTTGAAAAAGAAAATATTTCCCCAAAAGTATTTGAAGTTCTTTTATCGTAAGATTATTTTCTTTTTAATAATTTATTTATTAAATAATATATCTAAAATAATAGTCTTTTTTTTAAAAAGATACATGTACAATGGGATTGTCAATACAGATATCTTGGATGCAAGTGAAATTTATGAACTTCTTAAAGCATGTGATGAATTAAATTTTAATGAATTAATTGATGATTTACAAAATTATTTGATTATTAAAAAAAAAAAATGGACTCAACAGAATCTAGCTCATCTTTATAAAAATTCATTATTGTATCAATCATTTAATCTACTTCAAGGTTATCTTGATGATAATCCACAATTATTTTTTATATCTGATGACATTGCATCTACTGAAAAATCAATGCTAATAAATATATTGAAGCGAGATGATTTGGAATTAGAAGAAATTAATATTTGGAATTATGTAATTGAATGGGGGATAGGACAAAATGAAGAATTGGAAAAGGATATTTCAGAATGGAATGACAAAGATTTTAAAGAGTTAAAAATCATATTGGAAGATTTTATTCCATTAATAAGATTCAATGGAATCAATTCTACTAATTTTTATGAGATAATTATGCCATTTAAAAGTATCTTCAATAAAGAATTTTACAAGGAAATACTTGAATATCATCTAAGTAACAAATGGCAATCAAAATTTTTGCTTCAAAAAGATCCAAGAAGAGAAAAAGGGTTATTAAATACAGAAATGAGAAGCTTAATTTCTAGCTGGGTTGATGAAAAACAAGGCCCATATATTAAAAATTATTTAACTTATGATTTTGAATTAATTCTTCGTGGGTCTCATGATGGGTACTCAAGGTCAATTTTCGAAAAGAAATGTTACAACATTGAACAGACTATAACTATAATGAAAATTAAACAAACAGGAGAATTAGTTGGTGGTTATAATCCTGTTTGTTGGAACATAGATGAAATGTCTCAAGAAGAAAGATATTATATTGAAACTGATAAAAGCTTTATTTTTAAGATTGATGAAAATCAAATTGCTAGTTCAATATTAAGCAGAGTTAAAAGACCAGACCGTGCAATATATCATAACAGTATGCAATTCACTATTGCTGATTCATATAATAATACATATCTTAATGAAATTACTGCAAGTTTTATAGATTTAGGTGTATTTGTCAGTATTGCTAATGATGCTTATTACTCCTATAGTTTTGTTGGAAATTTTGGTGATGGTGGTGATTCTTATGAAAATAATTTAAATGTTAGAAATTACATCGGAAACAATGATGAAATTCTTTTGTTAGAAGAGTTAGAAATATACAAATTAGTAAAAATAAATAAATTATTTTAAATCAGGCTTATTTGTACATATTTCTTATATGAATTATTTATAACTAATAAATATATATCTTTATTAAATAATATGTCTAATATTCTCATTATTTATTGTTTCAAATCCACATATATAGTTAGTTAGCTTCTACCTCATTCGCGCATTAATTAAAGTTATCCACTAGATAATCTCATTTTACAAGGTAAAATCTTGCTCCTTGAATTCTTCTACAACTATGGAAATACAAAATGATGATGTAGTACTAATCCCGTGTAGCAATAATTTCTTTATATCTTTTCTATAATAATAATAATGTACATTGTCACCTGAACAGTTTGTAAATCGCTACAAATGTGATTGTAATGTTTTGATAATTTTTTTTTTTTAAAGAAAATCAAAATGTCCAATATTTTTTTATCTTTAGAAAACGTCAATATATTAATTAACGATCTTATTAATTCTAATAAAGATGCTTTATTATTAAAATATATCAATAAACTTTTAAATGACTTGATAAACTTGCTAAATGATTCAAATTTATATGATGTAGAAATCACAGTTGGAGGGGATGAAAATAGTAAAATTTTTAAAGCACATTCTATCATCTTGAAATCAAGGTCTTTGTATTATAAAACTGCTTTATCAAATAATTGGATAAAAAAATCCCAAGACGGCATTATTTTATTGAAAAATGAAGATATTTCACCAAAAATGTTTGAAATTCTTTTATCGTAAGATTATTTATTTAATTCAAATAATGCATTATTAATAATTTAATTTGATGATCCAATTTAATAATACAACAACTTAATGATAATGATAATAAATATTTATAATTTTAATAGGTATATGTATAGTGGAATTCTTAATATAGATAACCTAGATGAAAATGAAATTATTGAACTTCTTAAAGCATGTGATGTATTAAATTTCAATGAATTAATCGAAGATTTACAAATCCACTTACTTACTAAAAAAAAAGAATGGGTTCAAAAGAATTTGTTTTATCTTTATGAAATTTCATCAAAATATCAGTCATTCAATTTACTTCAAGGTTATTGTGATGAATTGATTGATGATAATCCAGAATTATTATTAAAATCTGATGACATTGCATCTATTGAAAAATCATTACTAATAACTATATTGAAAAGAGATGATTTGGAATTAGACGAAATTAATATCTGGGATCATATTCTTCGATGGGGAATAGGACAAACTGAGGATTTGAGAAAAGCTGTTTCAGAGTGGAATAAAGATGATTTTAAAAAGCTAAATGATATATTGGATGATATTATTCCTTTATTAAGGTTCAATAGAATTAAATCCAAAGATTTTTATAAAAAAATCAACCCTTATAGAAAGACATTTAATAAAAATATGTATGAAGAGATTATTCAATATTATCTTACTGGTGATTGGCAGCCAAAATTACTACTTCAAAAAGAATCAAGAATAAGAAAAGGCTTATTGAATTATAAAATGAAACTATTAATTTCTAGCTGGATTGATGAAAAAGATGACCTAAATAATTTATACTACAACTTGCCTTATGATTTTGAATTAATCCTACGTGGATCACAAAAAGGATTTTCAAGATCAGTTTTTGAAGAGAATTGTTTTAACATCAAACAAACAATTGTTATCATGAAACTTAAAGAAACAGGAGAATTGGTTGGTGGATGTAACCCAGTTTACTGGAATTCAAAAGAAATATCTCCTGATATTTCTTATGAGATTTATACAGACAAAAGTTTTATTTTTAAGATAGATCGAAATCAAATAAAGAATTCAATATTAAGTAAGGCTAAAACAGCTAAAAATACAATACATCATAATAGTCAAGGTTTTAATCTTACTTTTGATAATTTGCGATTTTGTGAGTTTTTTGCACATTTTGGTGATTTAACAATTTGTAAAAGTGTCGGAAATAGGCCTTATTGTCTTTATATGCATAATGTTTATAAAAAAGATTTGAACCTTAAAAATAAATTTAAAACGCCTCATTTGTTAGAAGAATTGGAAGTATATAGATTTGTAAAGAAAAATTAAGGATGGATATATATTATAATTTTATTATTGTGAATTATTTATATATTAAACAATTAAACATTACATCTATCTATAATTTTGGATTTTAGGTTTATTCAAAAAATTAATTATAATCATAATTAACATAGCATAGCATAGTGGAGGTTTAATTTATTGACAAAATAAAAATTGAGGTATTAAATTAAAAAAATTTCAGGGAAAATAAAGATTTATGTGAAATGTGTAATGTGATCACAGCGAATATTAACGACCATCACTGCCATACTGCTTTTAATGTGCCATTATATTTGAAAAAAGTAATAGTAATAGTGTTACCGGAATTAGACTTTGACGCAGAAATTTTGGCCGAACCTCTTAATTCCGGGATAATATGCAATTTCAAAGTTCCCTAGCCCCATTCTGAATTGCAAATTTCTCCACGAGCTTGAAACAAGTTGGAGAGCCACTTTTGTCCTAGAAGTAGGATCGTGCAGATAACTTTTCAGGTAACACATCAGCATGCCTGCAGCCTTCTCTGGTCAGGTGCTGTGAAGGAAGATCAGGTAAGATGTCATTGACGATTGATGCAACTTTGATAAACTCCATGGCCATGCCCCACCCCCTGGAATTCAGTTGCATTGTCATATTATTGGAGGGAGCTGGTCAGATTAGCCTTGTGTACATGAGGAAATGCGTGAGAATGACTGTAATGTTTTGAAGTAGCGTGTGTGCTTCAACATTTGTAAATTTTCAATAATCAAATGTTTATATATCACCTGCAACAGTCATGTTGCCTTGACATCTATATAAATAGTAAAGACACATATCAATACATTTATAAAATAATAAAAAATAAATACATGAAAATAAAAAATTTGTACTTCTCGCTATTAATAAATAACACCTTGTCTTCTACAACATTTACATTCCTCGTCTTGTAAAAAAAAAAAAATCAATCACGTTGGTTGTACAACCCATACACATAAGTAAAAAATTTTTTTTTGTGAAACTACAAAAGATTCATATAGGTAAGTGTTATTTATTGATGATAGTGGTAGTTGACTTGTCACCATTCTAGTTAAATTGTACAAATTTGTATGATATTACATGTTTGTATGAAACAAAATTTTTTTATACTATACCAAAAATCAGAATACTAATCTAATTAGGATAGTTACAATTACTTCTACTACCAATACACTACCTTTATTAGAACAGGAAAACAAGGTAAACAATAATAAAGTGTAAAATTGATCTTTTTATGTTCAATGAGCTAGTATTTTTTAATATTAATCCAATTTCCAATCTAATCTACAGGAGAATTGTTCCACTTCAACCACAACTGATGTGTGATTATATTAGGAATTTTCACATACTATTAATTTATCTTAATATAATGATTATTTTGTTACAAAGAATGTGAATATCAATGACCCACTATATGATCTATTACTCCAAGTATACTCTGAAGCTTCAGTAGAATAAGCAAAATATAATCTAGATATAAAGATTTTTGAAATAAATTATTTTAACATTAGGCCATATATTTCAATTTCATATAGTGATTTAATAAAAATTGGTATCATTGACCTTGATTCACCAACATATAATGAATTATCTCATTTCAAAATAATCTCAATGATCTTGTTACAACATCTGAAATTGATACAAGAATAATTAAAAGGATTAAGATAATTTCTAAATTGAAGTCATTTCCTGAAGGTGAATGAATGCTAAAAAGGTTTTATACTGGTGATAGTATTTACAGCAAGAATTTAGTAGATTCAATACAATTTGCATTAAGGGCATTTACAGAAAAAATGTAAGTTTATTCAACATTTTCATGAGTTATTGGTAACTTAACTAGCAAGTAATGAGGGTTATTTTTTTAGTACAAGATTGTTCAGTTCAAATCAACACTTTTACCAAATTAATCTGAATGAACTGCCAAATTTATTTTGATCTAATAAATGATCTTTTCTATGATTCTAGGGCTTATAATGTTCATCATCAAAGGTATATTTTGCTATTGTAAAGCTCCATTTCAAACTTGTGATTTAATACAAAGTCTTTTTATTTAGAAAATTGGTAGCTAATAAACAAAGAAGAAATTATCTTAAGTAGTGATGTTAGCCATTTACTACCTAAATTGGTAATTTATTTCTATAACCAGAAGGTAACGCGGAAATATATTACCAAATTTAGAAATTATGTATGCAGATTATTAGTCGGCTAACATCACTAATCTTAAGTCTCCAGATTCAGATGCTTTAAGAGCATTAATACCAGACATGAAAATCAATTTTCTAACAAGAGATATTGAGATTTTAATAATAGAACAAGCAAAAGATAAAATTGATGATGATATACCCAAGAACTCAAATGACAAATTTAAAGCATGTATTGAAATGTATGATATGTTGTTGAAGAATGTATTCCAGAAGATAATAAAGGGGAAATACAAAACATAAAGGTATTTGCTATAATAATTTCAAGTGATAAGATTTTATTTGAAATTACTAGTTTAAACAAAGTTTACTATGAAATTCATTTGTTTATTATTTTTAATAGAACTCAATGTCAAAGTACATGAACTATTTTTAAATAAACCAGGCTTATACATATTACAAGTCATAAGACAATTTTCACTCCCTAACAAATTTTGTGATCTTAGTCTTATGCATAATGCATTAATAACTTTGGTAAAGATCAGAGTAAGCAGTTTGATTTGTTAGATTATGTAATAAATAGATTCTTTGATTATGTATATATTTTGCAGTAGTTTTTAGACAAAACTTTAGTTCCTTTATCAAAAGCATTTGAAATTAAAGATGGATTCAAATCATAGGATTTTATTCACAGATACTGAAGGAGGTTATACAGTGTCACACACTATTAAAATCAAGTGTTTTTAAGGCTAGAGTTCGGTTACACAGTATATCAGATAGAAATGGATGGCAAAATGTGTCGATCATTGAAACAATATGGCACAACTATGATTTAACATTCAACACTTTTAATACATTTAATATAACAACAAATATAATTTATTCAGATATGTGTCCATTTGTT